TCACTGCGGGGTCAGCGCCGGCCCCAAAGCCATGCGGCTCCCATCTGCTGCCCCACGGGGTGAGCTCCGTCCAGCCCCACACAGCAGCTCCCCGTGCCTCCGGCTGCCCTCCTTCGTCTCCATCCCAGAGCGGAGCCCTGCCCGGCTGCCTGCAGCTCAGCACCAGCGGGAGCTCTGTGTGCTCAGAGTGCTCCAGGAGCCACAACACGACGTCACCGCCGTCCCCAGCAGTTGAGGGGCTGCCCGTCATCCTGCTCACGGGCTCGGCACGAAGCTCTGCCCCCCTCCTATAGGGGCCGAGTCCCCGCCGGCTCTCACCCCTCCGGGACGATTTCCTCCCCAGAAGGGATGAAGCCATTCTGAGAGCGATTCTTTTGTCTGCGGCCGCCGGGGAGGGGCCCGAAGCCCCGGAGGGTGACAATGAACTCCCAACTCTCTCTCTGAGCTCCGTCCTTACAAAGCACAAAGAACCAAACGATCGAAATCCCGCATTAGCATTTTTGGCACACGCCGCTTCAAAAGCGAAAACAGCAAAATGAGAAATCCTCCCCCGTGTTTCCCCGGGAGCAGGAAGGGTGGGACGCCCCAATCCTTCCGTCCCCGGCATTTCAGCTGCAAGACGCTGAGTAATCGGCCCTAGGGTGAACACTGAGCTGTGGGGCCGGCTTTAGGGTTTACTCATCGAGAAAGCAAAGCTTTGTGCCCAGAACAGTCGGCCCCACATTCACTGGGGTCTGAGATGCTTTGGGGTTTTGCACTGGAAAAAGTAAAGCCCCGTGCCCAGAGCAATCAAAACCAAAACCACCGCCCCCCTTTAGTCTGTGAGAGGCCCCAGAGATGGGATAAGAGCTTTAAACGCTGCAGCCGAGGTGAGCGCACTTCACGTACGGCCCACGTCACGCAGCTCTGCCAGCAGGACTGAAATCCTGCAGGAAAGGCTCCCTGGCCAGCACCAAACCACCCTCGAAAGCAAACAGCAGCACCGATCCCAGCAGGAAGGGAGAAGAGGTTGCCTCGTGCACTTGCATCTCCTCCCCGATGTGAAGCTCTGGATGCAGCTCCTCTTCCAGGTGGGAGAGATGAGATGTGTGCCAGCTCCAGGCTCCCAAAGGGAACCCCAAAGCACGGCGGGAGGAGACCCTGCAGCCTCACCCTGAGCCGGCAGAGCCACGGACCCCTATTCCCCACAGTGCTGTGGGAGCAGCAGGGAGCACCGACAAAGGGGGCGGGGAGGGGGCAGAGACCCATTTCCAGAGGCCCCAGGGACGAGGAACGCAACGCCAAGAGGCCGCCGAGGTGAGGACCCGCGGGCTGGCAGCCCCTGGCCTTCTTCCATGGGACGACCAGAAGCCCCCTCCGCCCTGCCCTGCAATCAGTAATGGCCTCGGCACTCTGCCACGGGAACTCACGGACGGTGCTGCCGAATGCTGACCGGCTGTGGAAGCCACTCCCGCCCCACGTCCAGCACCCCAAACCGGACCCATCCCCCAACTTCAGAGGCAGGAAGGGGCGTAGGGCCCCCTCAACACCGAGACGGCCGAACCACAGCCGGGAGCACCCTGTTGTGCCCCACAGACGCTTCGCTCCCCATCATCCCTCCCCCAGGATGTGTGGGCAGCCCCACAGCCCCCAGTTCCAGCGCTGTACGGCGGCCAAACCGCCCCCCCCCCTCCCCGTGCTGGAGCCCTCCGCCCCCCGTGTGGTGCCAAACGGCCGCCGAGATACCCGGAATGCCGCAGCCCCAACCGCCGGGACCCCAAACCCGGCAGGGAGAGGCCGTCACCTCCACCCCCGTACCCCACAACAGCGTCCTGGGCCCCGCCCCTCACGGCCCCTCAGCGCACCCCAGGCCCACCCCGCACCTCTCTCAGCCCCACACGGCCCGACCTCACCCCGGGCCCGACCCCCCACCTCCCACAGCCCCACCCGACCCCAGCAGCCCCTCCTCGCCCCCCAGCGCGCGGCTCAGCGCTCCCGCCGTACCCCCGAGGCCGCCGCTGCTGCCGCTACTGCCCCCCGATTCGGGCCCCGCCGCCGCCATCTTGCCGCCTCCCGCGCCCCCGGTCCCCTCGCGCGGGGCCCCCCCCCCCCGGCCCCCCCCCGGGGGGGGGGGAGGGGAGGCGCCCCCGCGCGGCCGCGACCACTCGGGATGCGCGGGTGGGGGAGGGGGGGCGGGATCGCTCAGAGCGCATGCGCGGGATGCGTGCCACGTGACGAGCGGAGGGGAAGTCTTTCAGGGCGCGCGAGGCGCGAGTCACGTGACGCGCCGAGGGCGACCAATAGAAATCATCGGAGCGTTCCGCACCTCCGGCCCGCAAGGGGGCGCTACGTCACTCGCTCCTCCCGCGGCAGGACGACGAGTCGAGCGCCGATGGCGGCGGCGGCGTCGCGATGAGTTTGGCTGAAGGCCGCGCCCCGCGGCGCACGGCCGGGAACCGCCTGTCGGGGCTGCTGGAGGCCGAAGAGGAGGACGAGTTCTACCAGACCACGTATGGCGGCTTCACTGAGGTGTGCGTCCAGACAGGGCCTTTATGGGAGGGTCGGAGGGACTCTGGGGCGCGCTGAGGGGAGGCGCGGGACCTTAGAGGGGGGGTTGGGAGGGGACCCGGGGCACCAAGGGGGGTCGGGGGGTCGTGAGGGGCTCGGGGGCACTCGGGGGAGCCCTGAAGAGAAGAAAGGGGCTTTATGGGGTTGTGGGAGGGGGGCGAAGGGTTTTAGGGGGTGTGAGGGGAGCTGAGAGGGTTTGAATGAAGGCTGGAGGAGGGTCTGAGGGGGATCGGGGCATTTAGGAACCTGGGAGGACCCTGAGGGGGTTCGTGAGGGAAACCGAGGGGGGTCCTGAAGGGATTGGAGGCACTGAGGGGGTCAGAATGGGGCAGGGGTGGCTTTAGAGGGCCCTTGAGGGGGGGAGGGGCTCGAAGTGGGGGCTGGGAGGAACTTCGGGGGCAGCTGTCAGGGGTTTCCCCATTGGGGTGGTGGTGGAGCACAGCCCTCGGTGTGACGCTGCCCTTCCACCCCTCAGGAGTCGGGTGATGACGAGTACCGGGGCGACCAGTCGGACAGCGACGACGAAGTGGACTCAGACTTCGACATCGATGAGGGCGAGGAGCCAACGAGCGACCAGGATGAGAGCGAGCCCAAGCGGCGCCGCCGCGTCGTCACCAAGGCCTACAGAGTGAGGGGACAGCTGGGCGTGGGGCTCGGGTCCCCCTGAGTGTCCTCTGACCTGCTGGGAGGGGATACAGGTGTCCCCAAAAGGATGGGATAATTGCCAACCTGCTAATTGCTAACAGTGGGGAGGAGGTGTCCCTTTGGGGCCATTTCACAGCGGCAGCCCCATGCAGTTTCTCCCTCCTGCCCTACCCTTAGGAGCCCATCAAGAGCCTTCGACCCAAGAAGGCTGACACCCCCAGCAGCGGCTCCCAGAAGGCCCGAGAGGTGAAATCAGCCCCCCTGGAGCTCCAGGATGAAGTGGGAGACAGTGAGTGGAGGCAGGCTGGGACGCGCCGGCTTCCCCGGGCTGGAGCTGGGCACCCCACTGCCCCGGGAGCTGTGCTGGCCCCACCTGAGCCCCTTCCTCTGCTGCAGGCCGGAAGCACATGCGGCAGTCGACGACGGAGCACACGCGGCAGACCTTCCTGCGCATCCAGGAGCGCCAGGTGCAGTCCAAGCGCAAGAAGGGCGGCCCCAACTACGACCGCCCGCTGACGCAGGAGGAGCTGCTGGAGGAGGCCAAGATCACGGAGGAGATCAACCTCCGCTCGCTGGGTGAGAAGAGAGCGGGGTGGGGGCTGGGGGCGCGGGCGCTGGGGGGTGCTGACCCCCCCCCCGGGCTCATCTCTGCTTTCCCAGAGAACTACGAACGCCTGGAGGCCGACAAGAAGAAGCAGGTGCAGAAGAAGAGGAAATGCGTCGGGCCCGTCATCCGGTACTGGTCCGTCACCATGCCCCTCATCACAGAGCTGGGCAAGGAGGAGAACGTGGACGTGGAGGGGTAATTTGGGGCACTGGATGGGATCCCGCTGGTTTCCCCCACCGCTCCCATCCCCAACCCTGAGGCTGAGTAGAGCTGTGGGTTTGGGCTGGCACTGCCCACAGCCCCACATTCTGCTCCTGCGGGGCTCCCTGGGTTCCCCCAGCGCCGTGCATCCCTCAGGGCTGACTCCACCTCTTCCAGGTTGGACCAAGACCCGCAGCAGGCGGACGCTGCCGCAGCCCCGGCCTGCAGCGGGAAATGCTCCCGCACCTTCGTCTCCTTCACCGACGACGAAACCTTCGAGCGTTTCTTCCCCAAAGCGAAGGCGCCGCGGCTGCCGGTGCGGGAGATCTGCCCGGTCACCCACAAACCGGCCGTGTACCGCGACCCCATCACAGACATCCCCTACTCCAACATCCGCGCCTTCAAAATCATCCGCGAGGCCTACAAGAAGTACATCACGGCCCACGGGCTGCCCAGCGCCGCCGCCGCCTCCGCAGCTTTGGGGGCTGCTCCTCCCGGCCCCGATCCCGGCCTCCGCCCCACGCGCCAGAAAATCATCATCAAGCAGAGCGTGCCCACGGCCTGAGCCTCCCGTGGGGCGGCGACGGATCCTCGCTCGATTTATCTGCTTCCTACTGTTGGTGTTTTGTTGTTTGGGGGTTTTTAATTAAAAGGAAAGAACTGGCAGCGAGGGCTGTGCAGGTGAAGGTGTGCAGTGAGGGGCGCAGGTTGCGCCCACAGCGCTGCCGGATCCCGCGGGATGAAACAAGGCCTTGTGTTCAGGGAGAGCCCGCGGTGCCTCTCGCGCGCAGCTGAGCCCCGGGGAGCTTTTCTGAGTGGGGCTGGAGGCGAGCGGAGCAGGCAGGTGGTCTCAGCCCCAGAGGGGACGCGGGGCAGCTCCAGGAGCCCAGTGGCAGAGGTTCCCCCTCGCCACCAACCCCAAACCTGCCCCCGATGGGGCGGAGGGACGCAGCAGTGAGCCCCGATGCCCCGGGGGGGCTCCTGGCGGCGGGTGCCGGGGTGGAGCCGCGCGGGGCGCTGGCAGGGCTCGATAACAGCGGGTTATGTGATCTCGCCCCTCCCCACTGCCGGCTCGCAGAATAAAACGCTGATCTCATGCCCTGCGCGGCCGGAGCCCTTGGCTCAGCACCGGGTGCAGCCCAGGCAGGCTCCACAGCCCCGGCCGACGGCCAGGTAGGGCCTGGGGGGGGATGGGGGTGGGGGTGCACCAATAAGGACGCCACCTTGGGGGGGGTCGCAGGGTCCCGCTGGGGGTCCCCGTGCCGAGCGGCGCCATCGGGTTTCTCCTGCGGCTGTCAGCTCGGGTCGCTGCTGGAGTTGCTGCGGTGTCCCCCTGAGTGCCCCCTTCCCATCCTCAGAGCTGCGGGTTGGGGGGCAAATCCCCATCCCTTGGGGGTCCCTCGGTTGGCACAGGGCTCTGCGTCCTCAGTGTGCTTCTGTGGTTCCTCCCCGGGTGGCTGTGGGGTGCAGGAGGGGGGGTTATGGAGGGCTGTGGGGCCGTGGGGAGCAGCGCTGAGCTGTGACTCGCTTTCCCCAAAAGCACCACAGCGAGGCCCAAGACCCAGGGGTGCCCCACAGCGCCCAGCCGACAGGACCCCCCTCAGCCCCCCAGTAACCCCCACGGCTCCGCTGTGGCGCACGGAGGGCTGGAGGTATCAGCGTTGTGTGCCCCCCCACCCCCCAGATCCCGCAGCCATGACTTCCTACCGGCAAGAGCTGGAGAAATACAGGGACATCGACGAGGACAAGATCCTACAGGAGCTGTCAGCCGAGGAGCTGGAGCAGCTGGACACTGAGCTGCTGGAGATGGACCCCGAGGTGCGGCCGGGGGTCGGCACAGCACGGGGGGGGGAGGTCGGGCAGGCAGGGCAGCGGTGGCACCCATGGGTGTCCCCTGGTGCTTCCCCAGAACGTGCTGCTGCCGGCGGGGCTGCGGCAGCGGGATCAGACACACAAGAGCCCCACGGGGCCGCTGGACCGCGAGGCGCTGCTGCAGCACCTGGAGAAGCAGGCGCTGGAGGCCAAGGAGCGTGAGGACCTGGTGCCATTCACTGGGGAGAAGAAAGGTGGGGGCGCCGCGGGGGGACATGGCACCGCAGCACCAGGTATATTTAGCTTGGCAGCACAGAGCTCACCAGCAGCTCAGATGTCCAGGGCGAGTTGGGCCCCCGCCAGCCCTGGGCATGGCCACCCCCCGGCAATGTCACAGTGCTGGCAATGCCACCCCCAGTGCTGCCAGCCCTCAACGTGTCCCCCCCAGGGTGCTCCTCCCTGGCCTGGTGGTCACCGAGGTCGGGGTGTTGGTGTCACCCCCCGCTGTGGGGCCATGGGGGGGTGCGACCCACATCTCCCTGTACAGGGAAACCCTTCGTACCCAAAAACCCCACAAGGGAGATCCCCCGCGAGGAGCAGATCACGCTGGAGCCGGAGCTGGAGGAGGCGTTGGCCAACGCCACCGATGCCGAGATGTGTGACATCGCAGGTGGGTCCAGCGCGGGGCTGCCGTGCCGCAGGGCTGCACTGCACAGAGCTGCTGTCGCCCCACACCGCTGCCCCACGCCCGTCTCCATCCTCCCCATCCCACGTCACACCCGCGTCCCCCCGTATCCCCGCCCCCCAATGCTGTGGCCGTTGGGTCCCCGCCAGCCCCTGGCTCCAACTGCGGCGCTGCCCTGCGCTCGGCTTTCAGCCTGGGCCCCCTGCCCACCCCATGGAGCTGCGGCTGCCCGGGGGCTGCAGGGGGGTCTGGGGCGCGCGGTGACCCCATGGGTGTCCGACAGCCATCCTGGGGATGTACACACTGATGAGCAACAAGCAGTACTACGACGCCATCTGCAGCGGGACCATCACCAACACGGAGGGCATCAACAGTGAGTGCTGCGCACAGCCTACATGGGGGAGGAGGGGATGTGGAGAACACGAGGGGTGGTGGGATTGGGGTGAGGGAACCCCACCGTCGTGCACACCGTGTGCTACACAATCATTGTGGTTGGAAAGTGTCTTCATGATCACCAAGTCCGATCCCAACCCATCCACACCGTGCTCAACTGAATTAAAGGATCATTGGGGTTGGAAAAGACCTCCCAAGTCACCTGGTCCGACCCCAACCCCACCCCACCATCCCACCAACCGTGTCCCTAAATTGGATCACAGAACCATTAAGGTTGGAAAAGATCTCTAAGGCCATCCAGGCCGACCCCAACCCATCCCCAGCGCTCAAAGAACGATGGGGTCACAAAATCAGAAGGGTTGGAAAAGATGACCCAGATCACCGCCCCCACCAAACCCACAAACCACGTCCCCGTGTCCCCCCCTGTGCCCAGGTGTGGTGAAACCAGATAAGTACAAACCAGTGCCAGATGAGCCCCCAAACCCCACCAACGTGGAGGAGACCCTGCGACAGATCCAGGCCAACGACAGCGCGCTGGAGGACGTCAACCTCAACAACATCAAGGTGAGGGGCGCAGCCTGGGCCGGCGCTGCCCCCGGAGTGCTGCTCCGTGCTGCTCCATGCTGCTCCGTGCTGCTCCATGCTGCTCCATGCTGCTCCGTGCTGCTCCGTGCCCTGCGCTGACTTCGGGTGCTCGTCCTGAGCCCAAGGGGTCTCTGGAGTGCCGCGTCCCCCTGACAGTGCCTACATCCCCTTGGTGACATCCTGTGGTGCCACCTGCAACCCTTTGGTGACAACCTGTGTGCTCTCGGGGACGGCTGTGCCCCTGGACACATCCCGACCCCTGCAGTGCATCCCCTTGGTGACACTTTGCACCACTGCGGGGCCGTCCCCACCCCTCAGTGACAGCCACGTCCCCTCGCTGCAGGACATTCCCATCTCCACGCTGAAGGCCATCTGTGAGGCCATGAAAACCAACACCCACGTCAAGAAGCTCAGCCTGGTGGCGACGCGCAGCAACGACCCCGTGGCCACCGTGAGTCCCTCCCCACATCCCCCCCACCCCCAGAGAGGGAAGGCAGCCCTGGGGAGGTGAGGTGGCACCCCGGGGTGACACCTTGAGGTGACACGGGCATCCTGCAGGCCGTGGCCGAGATGCTGGCAGAGAACAAAACGCTGCAGAGCCTCAACATTGAGTCCAACTTCATCACCAGCGCAGGCATGATGAGCATCATCAAGGCCATGTACCAGAACAGCACCCTGAGCGAGCTCAAGGTGGACAACCAGGTGAGAACGGGCAGCCACAGGGACTGGGAGGGGCGGGGGGGTCAGGCTGGGGGGGTCCCCAAATCCCACCTCGCCCCACGGCACCGCTGCCCTGCAGTGCCAGCGCCTGGGGGACACGGTGGAGATGGAGATGGCGACGATGCTGGAGCAGTGCCCCTCCGTCGTGCGCTTTGGGTACCACTTCACACAGCAAGGCCCCCGCGCCCGCGCCGCCATCGCCATCACCCGCAACAACGAGCTCCGTGAGTGCCCCCCCCAGGGGGAACGGGGGGAAATCGGGGGGCTGGTGGGACCTGGGGACCTGACCTGCCTCTCCCCTGCCCCAGGTCGCAAGCAGAAGAAAACCTGAGCGCCCCCTGCCACGGCCCCGCTGCAGCCTGGAGCTCGGCTCGCCTGTGGGCTCTGCTCTGGGCTCCCTGGGGCTGAATCCACTGTAAATAAAGAGGACGGAGACGCAGGGCTGGAGCTGGCTTGTGGAGTGTAATGCCCTCTTTCACAGCTTCAGACCCAGAGGGCCCCAATTACCTCGAACCGTTAACGAAGGGCTCGCTAAGGGGCCCAGCCAGACCTCTGGATCCCCTCAGGAAGCAGCGAGCTGCACGGTTGGGGTATTTATACCCAAAGGATTGGGTTACAGGGCCCAGAGCAATGCCAAGATTTTGGGGGGGGAGGGAAGCGAGGCACCCCCAGCAGGGAGGTGGGCACCCATGGGTCTCAGAGCCGGGCACCCAGGGCCCATAGCGGGTGGCACTGTGGGGCTGTGGGGAGGGTGGGGGTCTGCAGGGCTCTGGAAAGAGCCCCCCCCAGCCCGGTGCCGGGTCGCTGCTGGCACCCACTGCAGAGCTGGCGCCCATCCCAACAACTATTTATGGCCCCGAGCTGAGCAAGCGGGTAAATCCCAGCGCCCAGGTGTAACATCAGCCGGGGCAGCGCTGCCAGGGAGCCCCCACCCCCCCACCCCACACAAGAGCTCTGGGGCCCACAGTGCATACGGGCTGGGGAGGGGTCTCTCCCCAGGCTGTGGGTGGAGGTTTGGGAGCTGGCAGGGTGTGGGGCTGCGCCCTGAGGTGGGAGCACCCATGGGACCCGCAGGCTGATGCGGGGAGGTGGGGTGACGTGGCCGGGCGCTCCGCCGACCGCAGGGACAGCTGCTGGGACACGAGGAGGGGGAGCCCAACGCTGCCGCCCCTAAAGGCCGTGACCCCCTGGGCAGCTGCGTGTGCACCGTGCTGAGCGTGACCTGGGCAGGGACAGCTGGGGACAACCCAGAGCCCACACCGAGATCAGAGCACTGCGACAGGAACAGCCCCAAAAAGGGGCACTGTGAGCACAAAACAAGGGGACCCGCGATGCCGGATCCCTGCAGCACCAGGCTGTATTTCCACAGGACCCACACAGCCCTTCGTCTCCAGCTGCCCCATTCCCACAGCACTGGGGCTGGGGGCAGCCCTGGAGGATGGGCACCTCAGGTGGGCAGCAGCGCGGGGGGCTCCTCCTCATCGGAGTCAAACTCGGCGTTCTCATCCTTCACCCACTTCCCAGAGGGGTCCTGGATCCATCCGGCGCTGCAGACAGACAGACAGACAGAGGGGGGCTGAGCAAAGGGCAGCGAAGGGGGGGTCCCACACCCCCAGGCCCCGCTCACCTCCGCAGCTGTAGGTATCGCTGCAGCTCCTGGCGCCGCGCGGGGCTGACAGCCGAGGGCTGACTGGGGGGTGGCGATGGCTGAGCCCCCCTCAAACCACCCTGCTGGGTGTCGGTGGAATCCACTGCTGCCTCTGCGGAGTGGAGAACAGAAAGAATCAGAGAATCACAGAGGCTGGAGAAGTCCAATCCCACTGCACCACATCCTGCAGGGAAGTGTCTCATCAGGCCTCACAGCTCCTCTGCTCCAGGCAGGCCAACCCCATCCCACAGCACTGCGCTCAGACCCCCACAGCTCCCCTCCCTCCTCCACACGTGCTCCAGCCCCCCCCACGTCCTTCTGGCAGCGCGGGGCCCAACTCAGCTGTCAGCACTCACCTCCTCTCCCACCGCAGCGCCCGGGCAGCAGCACTGCAGCAGTGGCCTCCACTGCATCTCTGCGCTCCTTCACAGCTGTGGGGGCAGCGCTCGGCCCCATTCGGGTCCTTCCTGCTCTCACACCGCTTCCATCCGCCCTGCAGGGGACACCATCAGGGCTGGGGGGTGGTGGGATGGAGGCTCTCCCTGCGCCGCAGCAGCGGAGCCGAATCCTCACCCCGTCCTCCTGCAACAGCTGCTGTACGGAGCTGCCTTCAGCAGCGCGCTCTGCGCGATCCGCCTCGTCCTGAGCAGCAGAGGGGCCGGGGAGCCCTGCGGGAGGGGGGGGAAGGGGCAGAGCTCAGAGCCGCCCTTTGTGGGACGGGGAAGGGGAGGGGGCTCCGCACCCACCTCAGTGCCCAGCGCCGCCTCCCGGCACTGCCGCTCCCGCACCGCCGCTTCCTGCGTGCGGCTGCCGCCGTAGCAGCGCCGGAGGTCTGGAAGGGAGAAGAGGGGCGGTGTGGAGGAGCTCGGCGCGGCCCCCCCAGCGCTGCGCCCCTCACAGCCCCGCACTCACTGCCCACGTGCTTCCTGCCGGCCCGGTGCACCGCCAGCACCTCCAGCGTGTCGAAGACGGGGCGGTGCGGGCACACCGTGCAGGCGTATCTGCGCAGGATGAACCACAGAGCGGCTGGAGCCCCTCGGAGCGCATCTCCGAGCCCTCCGACGGCTCCGCGCCCCTCCTGCGCCGCGGGTCCCCCGCCCGGATCCCCCCGTTGGGTTCGCCGCCGTTCACCTCCCACTCCTCAGCAGCAGCGCTTCGTCCTCCGGGATGTAATTGGCCAGGAGCTCCGCCACGCGTCTCCGCTGCGAGGGGACGACGAGGCGCCGTCAGGGCGGCCCCGCCTCACCGCCCCCAACCCCCGTCCGCCAAAGAGGACCGGAGAGGAGCCGCCGACTGGCCGAGGCTCACCTGCAGCACCGCCAGCTGCCCCGCGTCGTCCCCATCCCGCTTGAAGGACATGGCGGAACCCGGCGCCGCTCTGCCGTCGCCATGGGGAGCGCCCACCGTCCGCTTCCGGGTCCTCCGTCCCGTCGTGCCTCGCGCGCGCACGTTGACCAATGGGGAGAGAGGCGCCGCGTAGCCGCGAGGCACGACGGGAGTTGTAGTTCTCCGACGCGCTTCCGCCATGGAATCCGAAGGACGCGGGACTACGGCTCCCAGCGGCCTCCGCGCCGGGCCCGAGCGGGGTCGGGGAGCGGCGGGGCGCCCCGCTATGGCGGGGGGTCGGGAGCACCGCGTGGGGCCCGGGGACACCTTGCCAGGACTGGCGCTGCGCTACGGCGTGACGGTGAGCACCGGGGGGGGGGGGGGGGGGGCAGCGGGCTGAGCCCCCAGCGGGCACCGCGCCGTCACTGCCGTCCCCATCGCGCCCCGGCCCTGGTCCTGTCCCGCCCCCATCCCACCCCGCACACACCGCTGTCCCTGTCCCCATCCTCATCCCTTTCCTACTGTCTCCATCCCCATCCTCTCCTCCCGTCTCTCTGCCACCCCATCCCATCCCATCCCATCCCATCCCATCCCATCCCATCCCATCCCATCCCATCCCTGTTCCCATCCCAATGCTTTTCCCATTCCCGTCCGTATTCCACCCTTTATCCCACCCCACCCCCATTTCTATCCCGCAGATGGAGCAGATCAAACGCGCCAACCGCCTCTACACGTCGGACACCATTTTCCTGAAGCCCACCCTCCTCATCCCCCCCCCGGGGTGCCCCATTGAGGCTCCCATGGGGTCGGCGCCGTCGGACCCCACAACCCCCACCCCCACCACCCCCGCCTCCACGCCGCACCCCGACCTCACAGCCAGCGACTTCCTGCGCCGCCTGGACGCCGACATCGGCCGCTCCAAAGCAGCGGTGGTGGAGCAGCGGCTGCGTGCGGGGTGAGCGCCCACCCCCCCCCCCACCTCCCCATCGGCTTCGGTTATGGGGTCACCGCTCGCTGCCACCCCGCGTCCCCCAACCTACTCTGCTGTGGGGTTTGGTTATGGGGTTACTGCTCAGCACCACCCCGTGACCCCTGCCCCACACCATCACCTTTCTATGGTGTTTGGTAGTGGGATTACTGCTCACTGCCAGCCCCTGTGTCCACCGTCACCCTCTCCTGTGCCCTCGTCCCACTGTCAGCTTCCTGTGGGGTTTGGCTCTGGGGTCACCACTCACTGCCACCACCTCTGTGTCCCCCACCTCACTCCAACCCACACTGCTATGGGGTTTGGTTATGGGGTTACTGCTCAGCACCACCCTTGCATCACATCAACACCTTCCTATGGGGTTTGGGGTCACCGCTCACTGCCCTCCCCACGTCCCTGCAGTGTCCCCGAGGCCGCCGTCCCGCTCCCCCCCCCAGGGCCGTCCCTGCGGGGTCCCCAGCTCGGTGCTCAGCCCCTCACCCGGACACGGCGAGCGGCTGCACTGCGCGACACCGAGGATGAGATCTTCACACTGTGACCGTGGGGACATCGCCGCGGCCGTGGGGACACCGTGACTGTGGGGATGGGATGTGGGGGGGGCTTCCGCCGGGTCGTGCCCCACTTTGGGGTCGGCCAAACCCGTGGACTGGAGCCTCCCCCTCGCACTGGGATGGGGTTCACCCGGTGATGCTTTCCCTCTGATCCTATTTATTTGTAAGGCTTTGCCTTTTGGGGTCTTTGCCTTTGGGGGTGTTGTGGGGGTGGGGGCCGGTCACCCGTGGGTTCCCCACCCTGCAATGTGTAAATAAAAGGGAGCACCGTGCGTCTGGGACATCGCTGTCACAGCCGCGGGGTCGCCATCCCGGCTGCGGGATGTGGGCGCCGGCCCTATTGGACCCTGCGGGCCGCCAGAGGTCGCCGTGTGCCTTCAATGCGGGGGGACCCCATAGGGACACGCGTGGGGGGGCGAAGAGAAGGGCAATGGGGTGGGGCTGGGGACACCGATGGGCCACTTTGGGGACACGGCAAGTGGGGGCAGCAATGGGGCCCCATGGCCGCGTCCCCGCGTGGGCGCTGCGGAGCCGCGAGAGGAGCCCACGTGCGCGCACACGCGGGATGGCGGGGCTCAGCTCATTACGGCGATTAGCGCTAATTATAGCGCCGCGGGAGGGGGGGAGGGAGTCGGAGGGGACGCGCAGCGCGGTGACACCGCGCCCCCCCCCCCCCCAAAAAAAAAAACCCCACAACTCAAATTCCCCTGAAATCTCCGCGTCCCCTCCGCGCGTGGGGCGCCCACGGGTGTCCGCAACCCCTCCCATCCCTCCACCCCCCCGGCCCACGCCGTCCCGTCCGAATCCGGCCCCGTTCCGGGGCGGAGCCGCTGCGGGAGCGCTCGGGCGCGGCGCTCAGCGGTACGGGGCGGCGGGACAGCGGGTCCTATGGGGTCCTTGGGGTAACGGGGTCCTTTGGGGTCTTGTGGGGTTACGGGGTTATGAGGTGCTGTGGAGTGACAGAGTCCTATGGGTCCTGTGGGGTTATGGAGTTATGGGGTTCTATGGGGTCCTGGGAGGCTGTGTTGCTGGTGGGTCCTATGGGGTCCCGTGGGGCTGTGGAGTTAAGGGTCCTGTGAGGTCCTATGGGGTTATGGGATCCCATGGGGTCCTGCGGGGCTTTGGGGGCTGTGGGTCCTCTGGGGTTCTATGAGGTTGTGGAGTCCTATGGGGTTCCGTGGGGCTGTAGGGGCGGCGGGTCCTACGGGGTCCTGTGTGTCCTATAGGGTTCCGTGGGGCTGTGGACTTAAGGGTCCCGTGGGGCTCCGTAGGGCGGCGGGTTTCGGGGGTTCTGACGCTGTCCCCGCACAGCGCGTTGCGGTGCCTCTCTGGGGCCGCCCCGGCGATGCCGCCCCGCGCTGCCGCCCCCCCCCCCC